CTAGTATACAAATTAAATCTGTGGGCGATCTAGTACACAATCTAAATCTATAGGGTGGCCATGACACTTTTAAGTCTAGTATACAAATTAAATCTGTTGGCCATCTAGTACACAATCTAAATCTATAGGGTGGCCATGACACTTCTAAGTCTAGTATACAACCTAAATCTATGGCTAGCACTCACTACAAGGAGGCTCCAGGGGCGTTGAGCGCGGCGTCCATGGCCTTGGTGCAACTCTCGGAAGTGACGAAAGCGTTCTGCGTGACGCCATTGATGGTGGCCGCGGTGTAGGCGGCGTTGCACGTGCTGAACCCTGTGAGGGGCACGATGATCCTACTCACGCCCGCGAACGTGCAATCGTTGATCACGGACTCACCGTTCAGCACTCGGAACGAGGTCTTTGGGGCACACACTGCGGGGCGTGATTGTGATGAGAATGATAATTATCATAGAAATGAAAAATACTAAGAATAATAATAACAATAATAATAATTATAATAGCAATAATAGTGGTAATAAAAATAATAATAACAATGATAATAATAGTAATGGAAATATAAAAAAACCCCAATGATTATGATATTGATAATAATAATATGATGATGATGATGAAAAATATAATGATATTAATGACAGTGGTAATTATAATAATAACAATCATCATCATCATAATCAGCATCATAATAGTAGTGATGACACGACTACGACTACTACTACTACTGGGGGGGGGGAGGGGCTTAGAACCTTTTATGTCCATTTTAAAACTCATTTTTATGTGGATTTTACTGGAAAAACATTGATTAAAGGAACAAAAAATGAAAATTTTCAGTTTTCAAGGACTCTCATGGTATGGAAGTTACTAAACTGTAACGCCATTTTCTAGTAAATTTTACCTCTGAATCTAGGCGACCCTGACCTCCTTCATTGGCAAATATGTCTACTTCTATTCCACAGAGATAGGTATTTTTTCATCAGAAGCAAGGCAGATGAACAGACCTTAAGAGACCAATAACCCCATGTGCCCAAAAATTGACGAAACGCCTGATTTCACTATGTCGAAACACAAATGCATCACATGGTATCAGCGTTTGTTTCGTTTTAGTGAGAGTGTTACAGAACATGCAAAACAATGAGGTCATTATTGTAGTTTTAATTTTACAGAGAATTATACGACACTTGCAAAACAATATGGTAATTATTATAATTTTAGATTTAGTGAGAGTGTCGAAGGTTAGTTTTAGTTTTAGTAAGAGTTTTGCAGCACTTGCAACAGTGTAAGGTCATAAAAGTGCCGAAGATTAGAGGTGATATAGGAGAGTAACAAACACAAATGGTCCATGCAAAGACTTCTCTGCTGACATCCACCCCTTGGCGTTCATAATATGACCTTATGCAGTTGCGAGCGCCGAAAAACCTCTACTAAAACTACCC